AATAAAAATTTATAAATATTCTCTAGATATTTTTGTTAGAATTAATTGACAGCTTTGAAATGTGGAAAATGAGTAGGATGTCATAAAGTCCTCGCAAAACAAAACCCTGTGCAGACTGCAAAACTTAGAAAACCGTGTAAATATAAAGAACCGGCAAGTAGCAATCATATTATTTTGACTGGATCACATTATTAAATTCTGATAAGAATTAGAAAATACCATCGAATTAAACAATAAATCTTTAACAATAATACAATTTTTAAACAAAAAAAAAAAAAAAAAACACAAACAAACAAACGCTTTGTGTGTACACAAATTCCACTTTTTATTTGTCAACTCACTATTCATAGTTTTTTGGTTGATGGATCAATTTGTATTTATGAACTTTTCCAAATGACATGGCGCTTGTGAGTTTTTTTTAAAAAAAAAAATAAGTATTCTCTTTATTTTGTGGCATATAACGCTCGTAAACACACCAAAAATTTAATAAACTCAACAAAAATCCTATCCTAAGTACCATAGTTGTCACAAAGTGTTGCAAATGCTTTTAAAAATGGGGTCGACATGTGATTTTTTTCACGAAATTTCATGATAAAAACTAATAAAAATAACCATTTGTTTCAGTGATGCGTACGTATCTAATAAATCAGTTAAACTTTATTTTTCAAATAATTTAGATGATATTTTGGCAAATTTCCTATTTTTAGTGTTATGAATATTATTTCAACAAAAAAGAATTATGTGATATATTAATTTTTGTTTAGAACTTATGAATATTTTTTCATTATAACAATATATTTTATACTAATAAGAGAGGAAGTTCAGCTAAGGCACACAATGAGTAACCTAATTTGGTATCGAATTCACCATCAACGAGATTCGAATCTAAAACCTCTCACTTACTAATGAAGAAGAATATCATCAAACTGTAGTATTGAAATTAGATATTATGATTCATGAACATTAATTGTTAGTAGGGAAATGGGAACCAAGACCTCTATTTCTCTTTTCAATATTTTTTTTGGTCTTTTGCTTTTCAATTTATGAAATCTATAAATAAATAAATAAAGACTAAGATCTTGATTTTGATTGGGTGCGAGATCTAAACACGCTCTCTTTTTCCTTTTCGTTTTCAAATCTGTATGTGGGAAAGTAGGAATGAAGCTTGCCCATTTGTTTCATTTATGCCTAGATCGAGATCACCCCTGTCAGATTGTGCCTCCTTCCATGGCCGAATCTAACCTCGAAGAAGAAGACCAAGTTCTTCCACAAAGCCCACACGCTTACAATTTTGTCTGCTGTTACTCCTACTTCTTCACCTCCCTACTTTCGTTTTCCTCACTCTCTACTTTCTCCGAGGCTTCCCGCTCCATCCCAACAACCACCACCGCCACCCTTTCTCTCTCCTCCTTTTCCTCTCTCTCCTCCACCAACCCACCGTCAACCTTCCCTTCAAAACCATCTTCCCACGCCGACACCTCCAAAACCCTCGTCACATCTCTCACAATCTCCGCCGCCGCCGTCTTCCTCATCGTTTCAGTCATGGTGGTAATGAGATGCTTCGGATTCAGATCAAAACGCAAAGACAATGGAATCGTTGTGGAGAAGGAGGATCATGTTGAAGAAAGCGGGGAGTTTAGCGTGAAGAAATTGAGTTGGGATTGGATAGAGAGATCTACTGATGGCTTCTCCAAGGTGATTGGAACTGGAGGGTTTAGTAATGTGTACTTGGCACGAAACCCGGGGCCTAATTCGGGCGATGGGTTCTGCTCAATTAAGATCCACAACGGCAGCGAGCGGCTGAGTCGGGTTTTTAAGCAAGAACTCGATATTCTCCTCCGCCTTGAGCACCACCGCATCGTCAAGCTTCTTGGCTACTCCGAAAACCAAGGTCTGTCCATAAACTAAGAACATAGTTAGGATTGTGCTTAACATGTTTTTTGACAGCTGAGCCAACGTTTCCGACTTTAGTTAAAAAAGAAAAACAAAGGTTTCCAACTCGTAAAAGCATTTTCCCCGGAAGCACTTATCAGATACCTCTAAAAAAGCCATTCGACTGTATTTTCATCAAGCAATTGGTTTTTAATAAAATTTTAACGTGTTTATAATAAAATTAATTCGAGTACAATTGCTTAAAAGTAAAAGCATTTTCTAAAAAAGCAATCTCAAACGAATCATAAAATTTCGTTTTGGTATGTGTAATTGTTGTTAAAAATCTTAGTGATTACTCATTTGAGAAAACTTGCTTGCTAAAGAAGCATCTAGTGTTTCTACCACTCAGCTACACTTCCAGCTTTTTTGTGTCAGATGCAGTTGGGTTGTAATACTGTACAGTTTTCATGACATTAATTTGTGATTTGTTCTTATTTTCTTTGTGGGTTCAACTTCAATCCAATTTGTTCAAATAATAATGTTTTATATTTTTTCTTGTGAAACAGAGGAGGGTGCTCTGGTTTTCGAGTACGTCGCCAACGGAAATCTCCAAGAGAAGCTCCACGGGGGAGACGCAACCCCAGCACTGCCGTGGAAGAACCGAATGGCAATCGCCTTCCAAGTCGCACAAGCATTAGAATACCTGCACGAGAAATGCGCCCTCCAAATCGTTCACATGGACATCAAAGCCTCAAATATCTTACTCGACGAAAATCTCAACTGCAAGCTCTGCGATTTCGGATCAGCGAAGATGGGGTTTTCCTCAACCGTCCAACCGCCGTCGTCGATGAGAAATCAAGTCTTGACAATGATGGGCTCGCCGGGTTACACCGATCCGCACTACCTCCGAACCGGAATCGCTTCGAAGAAAAACGACGTGTACAGCTTCGGCGTTTTGATCTTGGAGCTCGTGACGGGAATGGAGGCGTTTTGCTCCGAGAAAGGGCAGTTCTTGACGACTTTGGTGGGGAGTAGGTTGAGAGACGGCGGTTGTGAGGCGGCGGAGTTGGTGGACCCGCGGCTGGGCGCGGCGGGGTTTGACCTCGAAGAGGCCAAGACCATGCTTGGTATTTCGGCAACGTGCTTGCGTCAGTCACCGACGCTGAGGCCTTCGGCTACTCAAATATTGGAAACCATTCGGGAGAAAGTATCGTCTGTTTCGTTTCTACAGTCACTATCTCATGAGAAAGAAATCATATATTAGTTGGTTGTTTGCTTGCTTGCTTAATTGATCCCAGCCGTTGATTTTGACGACTTGGTGAATTGATTGTATAGAGGAAATGTAAAAGAAAGTTGGTTTAATAAGGATTCTGAATCTCAGATGTAAACTTGGCAAGAGGATCCTCTCCGGGTAGGATCACCATATCTTAGCTGTTCATTGTACATCGTACGGTCAATTTTCGTTAAATACTATTTTTGTTTAATTTTAAATAAAAAAGTCAAATGATTGATGATTACACGAAGCACGATGAATGGTTAAGATGTAAAGATTCTTAAGATCCTCACAATTTGGATCCGGATGAGATCCAAGTCTGTAAATTTGTACCAGGCTTTTTAGTTGAAATAGTTGCTAAGATTGTCATAGCTCATCATTTGGTCCATTAAATTTAAAATCGATAAAAGTTGTCTTTAAGGGTGTCAATTGTCAATCATTTTGGTTTTTTTTGCTAAATAGAAGAAACTACCAATTCAATGGAGGGGTTAATTTGATAAAAATACTCTCGATTTAAGATTTCTCATAGAGAAATCAAAATGATTTACGATGGACAATCTTTAGACCAAAACCGCATAAGTTTTAGCAACAAGGGGAAGATTGTACACAAAATTATGAGTAATCCTATTCAAAAGCATTTTCATCAAACTCCACAAATCATCAATAACTTGTTTATTATTTCATAACTGGATTGTAAAGAATTAAATTTGGAATATTTGAAATGAAGAAGAGTAAATGGGCTAGAGTTAAAATCATATTCTTGTTGAACATGTTTAATCAATTTTTTTTTAATCAAAGTAAAAATGCTATTATTTTAGAACAAACAGTCACATAGGTAAACAAACTTGTATTTGTAAAACAATATTTGTAGAGTTTTTCAGAGATGCTTTTAGACACATGCATTAACATACTTCTTAATACTCCCGGAAAGAAGGATCGCCGTGGCAAGTCACAGTTGGTCCTCTTTTTAAAAAAAAAGAAAAAGAAAAATTATATAAGCAACATTCATGTGACGTCCAATATGAGCAACATTTAGCCTTCACAAGATTGCACACTATTTCATTTTCTTTAAACTTTTAAAGTTCACGTGTTTATATTCTCCTTGTCTTTGAATTTTCATTTGCCATTAAATTAACATTATTGTTCATTAAATATTTATGACATAAATTTCAATTTGTTGATTAAATATTTATACATAAATTTCAAATTTCAAATTTCAGTAGTCATTCTACTTATTTTTAGCGAAATTGAACGAGAAATGTCTCCTCCACATGCAATTGATAATGAAGTCGTGCTTTGATTTTTTATTTTTTGGTTAAATTTTTACACTATCACTTATCGTCCATCCCGACATAGAATACAGTAATATACAAATAATCGTGGATAGAATTTTTTTTTATTTGAACTCATCATGCCTCATATTCGAATCTCACATGCTAGTATACCTTGAAGTACTAATATCGTTTGTGATAAAAAAAAAAAAATTATAAAGTTTCATTCAAAAGTTTTTTACCACACTTGTCATTTAAGTCTATAACAAATAATATTAATCTCGACATTGTTATATCCGTCAATAATTATGTTAATTAGACTACTAACATTTCTGCAAATCAGGAAAGCAAATTACATGAAACAAATTCGGTTTTATTCCATCTAATAATGTTACACGTGAAGTTATATTATTAAATTTAAACACTATGATGACCGTAATCCCATTCTATGTAGTTATTATTAATTCGAAACACCACACCATGATTGTAATCTCATTCTATGGATCAGACCCTCACCCAAAATTGGGCTTCTGTCAAAGCCCAAGTAAAATTGGCGACCTCGTTTTGCGCACCCCGGTTGCCCACTCTCCCGGTCCGCTCGGCTACCTTATCATTTTCATACACACCTGCAACTCCACAACGCAACTCGGAAACTCACTGAAATCGCCGGATCATGTCGTCGTATACGCTGCATTTGGCTTCACCGGCGACCAGAAATTGTTTGTACGAACACCGTCGCAGAATTCCCACATTCAAATCTCCCGCGTTTTCCAACCCCCATCCCTTTCGCTGCGATTACGCTGCGGGAAATGGGCTATTGGCAGCGAGCAACACAAGCTTCAAAGCCGTGCCCAAAACGCACCGTCGTCGGTTCTCGTGCACTTCTCAGCTGGCGGAGATGGCTCCGGCTACCTCTGCAGTCTACGGCTTCCTCCTCCTCAGCGGCGGCTTCTTTGCTTGTAATCTCTTCATTTCTTCCGCAAAATTACAGATAAATGCTCCAAAAATACATGATTTCTTTTTTTTTTTTTTTTTTTTTTTTTCAAGAATGGTGGGTTTTTTTATTTTTTTTATCGCAGTTTCGAGAACAGGAAGCAAGGGGTCGCTTCTCGGTGGTGTTTCAGGAGCAGCTCTAATGGCGACTGTAAGACTCCTTATTAAAACTAAATTGTTTTTTTTTATTTTTTTTTATTTTTATCAGAGCAGAATAACACTAAATTATGTTTACTTTCAAGTTTCAATAAGTTGGTGAATTTTAGTTTCTTAATTATTTTTTTGGGTTAATTCAATTGTTTGATTTACAATGCTACATGTGCAATAATGTTGGCAGTCACACGTGATAATTTTCATGTCAACACATTTTGAGACGCTGAAAATCAATTTACTAATCCCAATTGCCGAAAAGATTTCAGTATTTGTTTGATGTGTCCTTAGATGATGATCGATGTGTCGTCAAAATTTGGTTTTGGTAAGTTCAGCAATTGGGATTTGTAAATCGATCGTTTCAGTCGAGTTCCCTAATGTTTTCTTGATGAAAGGTAATATCTGAGCTCTTAATCTGAGCATAATCAGACACTAACACTATTCAGAGCTAAACCACCTGAGCTTCCTTTGTCATTGCTCAACAACCGATGATGGATCAATCAGAAATCTTCAGAAAGAGATGTGGGGGCGACCTCCGTCTTTCAATGCTGGATCAAGCTTTTACTCAAGCCAAGTCTTTAGCACATTGTCCTTCGTAGGGTACCAAGTACAAATCTTTCAGAACCCCTGCACAAATGCATGTGATTTCCACTTATGAAGAGTGAATACCACACTACATTTTCCAGCTGCATCATTTTAAATAGTGCTAGAAATGATCGTCGTGTATAATGTATAATGCATTTCAAAACACTCCACATCCTGTTTCCAACCCATGATCCCTCTGCTGGTGTTTCACTTGACAACCACAGAATTCAAGATTTCGTAAAAAGCGTTAGTTGCTTGAAAGAAGGGACAAGCATGTGGTTCATCATTCACAAATAATGCAGTTAGTCTATATGTTTTTTTGTTTGCATGTTCCTCAAATTAGTCCGAGATAATGCAGATAAGCTTCCTTGCTCTTAATTAACGATACTAGGGAACCACACTCAAGTTTATCACTAAAATTGTACAAGCACTTTAAATTGTTAACAGTTGACAATGGAACTCCCCATGGGTTTATGTGAACACGATATTAATGTTTTATTATGTTCAAATTATTGCAAAATACACTGCAAGGTTTCTTCAATTTTTTCGTCCCTGGGACATGGTACCCTGGACTTTCTTCATCCCTATTTGTTCATGGGGAGGAGGTGAGACTAGGCCAAAGGCCTTAATTGCAAGGTTTTATAGCTTGGAGCTTATGCTTCCTGAAGTTATCTTTATTCATGTTGAAGAATGTCTATCAAAATTCAAAATAACAAGAGTCTTTCGCTTTGTGACGCATTCTGTTTTTGTTCATGTAATTGAGCTTCTTGTTGCTTTCTGCCTTCTTACCTTTCTAAGATACCGACACTTTTGTGGTTCTGTGGTATGTTAAAAAAATCCAAATAATGCATCTGAATAGTCCTAAGAGTGTTATGCCTGAATGAACGTAGATACACAAAAAGGATTTGTCACCAGCTTAATGGGTGATACTTGCTATGCTTGTAGGCTTACTATCTGCTGCAAACACCAGAGACAAAAGCTATTGGTGATGCCCTTGGTTTTGGATCAGCATTTCTTTTTGCTGCGGTATTCGGTATGCTTGTACAATGCTTTTGTTAAATTCTATGCACAAGTGTGTACATAGTAACTTAAATATCTGTTATGAATAACAATCGTATGCATGTACCATGGTTTCAGGTATACGATTAGCAGCTACACAGAAATTGGCTCCTGCAGGCCCTCTGTTAGCTCTTTCTCTTAGTGCACTGGCTGTGTTTATATCAGCTTATCTAAAAGATAGTGTCACCATATCTTAGTCGTCCTTAACAATAATTTAATGTCGTTCATAAGTCAAATTCCTTGTGTTAATGCGATCAAGACTCGAGTTGTAAGGTCTTATTTAATTCAGTTCTTGTGTTCGAACTCTTCTCTCTATTTCGGGTTTGAATTTCTGACTTAGTGCTGGTTTTTTTTTAGTATGAGTGCTTTTTTCCTCAGTTCCCACCTCCATTATATTCACTCCACCCACCTTCTTTTTCTCCTTACCACAAAGTTGTTACCACCTTACTTAACACGCTCCTCGACATTTTAGAAAAACACTGACCATGGATGGCAACCTTGTGCCGCCCTGGCCTACTTAACCATGATTGCCGGAATTTATCTACTCTTGCTATTCTGATTTCTTCTGATATGGAGGTGCTACAGCAAGATAGGTTGGATCAAATTTCGTTCATGGAGTTTCGTTTGATATTGCACATTTGTTCACGAACTCTCGCTTGTTTTGTAATCTCAAATTATGTACCTTTGCTTCCTTTGTACTACTAGTTCCTGGCATTGTCAATGTCAATAATACAAGCATCGTGTGTTTTTTAATCTTTTATTTTTTTCAGTCGAGATTGTACGGTCTTTTTATATGAATTTAAACGTATTATGTATTGCCAAGTGCTTCTCCTCTTGGCCCGAAAAGAAAGTGCTTCTCACGGCACAAGTTGAACACACATCTATATTTTAATTGCCCCCTTTCCAGCAATCATCTTCTCCCTTTAGGCCTTCTAGCTATATATATTTGTATCGACTACTGACTTCGATAAGAGGGTGGTTGTTAGTGTCCATTCGGAATACCCCGGCCTCCTTAATTGACAAAGGAACAAGGAATAATTAAGTGCATAATCTAACAACGTGAGCTCTTAAAGCCGAGGGAAACTTGGTTCCTCCCTAATTGGTAAAAATACAAGAATAATTAAGTGAATAATCTAACAACGTGAGCTCCTAAAGTCGAGGGAAACTTTAGTAAGATTGTCGTTTTACAGAAACCATCACACTTGCGAGACCAATGTAGGGTTTTATGAGAGCCCTTTACGCAAGTTTTGTTTCCTTGGTGAGAGGAGAGAAAATGCTAAGACTGAAGATCATGAATTCAATCTAATATCCAAATGTAAGATGAGGTACTTATAACTAAAAACTAATTTGATGCACCTATTATGTTTTTTTTATGACACCTTCAAGCAATTTTGAAGTTGGTATACATAAAAGCGTATAGGGGATAAATTATAGGTACATGAACAGACCCCACAGTTCTTGGGCAGGTAAATCAAGACTCGTAAAAGATGATGTTTGAGTTTGCAGTTCATCATAGTTGTCTTGCCAACAAAACTCCACAAACGCGAAGAAAAATGAGAGATATGAATAACCTAATAATGTGATTTTAAGTTGTATTTTAATCTAAATTAAGGGCTAATGACTACAAGCATAATGTGCTATAATTATGGTTCAATGAAAAACAAAAAAGGTACTCCATCTCTCCATTTGATTTCAACCGAAAAATGAATAGGAACAGACAAGATTCCTTTGTCCCATACGATACTTTTCACAAACTTCAACTCTAACCTATCTGCCGACGAGAATACCCCATAATCCAGTGTCTTCTGGTATTTATGCCTATCCATACAGTGATTGACTGTGCGTGCACAATGCAAAAACCTCTGGTGAGAACTGCTGCTGTTGCTTTGCTTCATCATATATTTGATTAAGTCCACTTTCGTTGAAAAGAAAGCAGATAAAATATGGAAAAAGGCAAAAAAAAAAAAAAAAAAAAAACGAAAACGAAATGGAGAAGGATGGATGCATGGATCTTCCTTCCCAAAACTTTGAGAATCATTTTTGAGTATCTTCTACTCAACACGACATGAATTATTAAAACCTTACCTTCTTTTTTTGTTCATATTTGAAGTTGCTTTCTTTCTTTTACTTTTTTTATTAATGGAATCACTATAAAATAGTCAAACCCTCCCACTACAACTTCCTCACATGCTATAATTTTTTCCTAAATGTTTTGTGATGTCTTGCTTCAGCATGTTGATGCAACCTTGGTCTTTTAGTTTGTACTAATTTTAGATTTGTCGCGTTTACTATTGTGTGGCAGATTTATATCATTGGCTCTTAATTTCTTTGTGGTGGCTGTACAAAAATCTAACCTTATTTGCTGGTTGTGCGAATTTCTCTATATCACAAAATTGGTCACGGAAAAAAATACTGACATATAAATGCGGCAACCGCCTTATAGCACCGTAACAAGTTCAAGTGAATGAAAATTATGAATTCCCCTTTTTAGTATTAAATTCGGCAGCAATAGGGTCACTTCACTTTTGGTTTTGAAGAAGTGGGAGTTGGATTTTGTATGTTTCTTTTAATTATTTGGATGAAACTATGAATAGTGGGAGTCGAACAAAGTCTCTACCTGCAGCTCCAATTATGGTTTCTGGTTTCTGGGTTCCAATGGGGATCAGGAAAGGCAGAGTTTGACTTTGTGAGACCTTAGCATCTAAAGGTTCTCCATTATGTTTTGTCTTGTCTAAAGTCTAAGTGCTGCTTGATCATGTAATGCAACATTCATGAATATCCAAGACCTTGTTAGAAACAATATTACTTAAGAATAGACCATGGAACTGAATCTAAGAGATGGAAAAATTAGAAAGATCCCACCCCTATCCAATTCAAAGTTTATTCATGGTAATGTAACAAATATATACATATTATAACCGTATTATTAAAAGATTTTTTGGGTTTAAATCTCGTTTCTCACTTATTTGTCGGTGCAACAAAAAGTTGATTCTTTAATGCATAAATGAGTTTGCATGTAGGGAAATGTATAAATTAACTTGTGGATATATATTATCCATACATTCCTCAACCAACTTGAATTTTAGGACTAGTGGTTATACACCAAAAATTGAATTAAAGTCCAATGTGTAAAACTCAACTCAAATAGGAAATAGGATTCTCTTTGGATCCCTTCCATCTGGATCCTTGGATTCTTCAATTTTATTCGTTGAATTGGAAATTGAACAACAAGAATTAATTCCTTGTTCGCCTTCACCTTCTCATGTTCATCTTCTTCCATCTTATTCACGGTTAAGCTTCTTATGTTCATCCCTCTTCTCCATCACGCTCTCTCCCCAGCTCTAGGATTGAAGGATCTAGATAATCCAGATGGAAGGGATCTAGAGAGAATCTCAGTCCCAAAATTAGGGCACAATTTCCCCTTATTATACACGTGCATGCAGACTGCGGAGCCATAGACAGTGGAGATGTACGTACTTGTTTGATGCTACCAAGTAGCTAACGCGGTAATCAAGAGAATAGACTATAGTTAGGAAGGTGATTAGGAAGTGATTATAATTAGGAACTTAGTAATCAAGTGTTCTCTGATTGTTCTCTGGTTATGCTTCCTATATATAAACAGGTTCTTAATTGAAGTACAATATAAGTATGCAGCCTGGTACAGGAATCTTAGGGTTTTGTGAGCAAAAGGTGTAACTGAGACATATCTCATCATGTTAATCATATAATTAAGAAATGACAATTACTTATTAATCAACATGATAACTGTTAATGATTATAGTAATCCTTTTGCCCCATATAATGCATTATGCACTTTCATTTTATAATTGTGCTCTGACCATGTTTTTGTGTAATATGTAACAAAATATAAAATAATTAATGTATTATTGTTATTTCATTGACTTTGTTAATGAATCTTACTCTTAAAAAAGTATGTATTGTTAATTAATTAGAAATTGGGCTTGAAAATAGTTGTGATTAATTTAGAGTTAATTAATCTGTCTGAAGTGTTAGAGAGATAATTATTAATTAGGATAATATTAGGGAGATCAAAATTTTAAACTAAATAATGTGTGATCAATAAAAAATAAGTATGTTAATCAACACTTAAGTAATAATTCAATCATTAACATCCATTTCATTTGGTTCACAAAATTTGAGTTAGAAATTTGATCTCCTAACATTATCCAATTAATTAACATGATGCACGGTTTGGAAATTGGAATTTATGATAGATACTAGTCACTCATCAGCACGTTTGGCGGCCAGATTTTTTAAAATTAGGAGACAGCCATATGACTTATGATAAAGAGCTGTATTGGTTACATGAACTAAATTAATATTTTGACTAGTTGACACATGATGAAAGGTTTTATAAGATTAATTTCACGATAAGAAATAATTTTCGCACATGATTTTTCTCATTTTACGTATTATTGGCTATTTTTGTGGCTCCTCAATTGTTTAATTCGTTGACTTCCATTGTCCCACTGCTATTTCTTAGCTAGGAACTTTATAGATTTGACAAACTTTTTTATTGGACCAAACTAAGGCATCAATTGGACTTTGCTACCTATTTATGTAGGATGTTGAATGTTGGACAATAATTAGGCTTTGAAAAATTTAAGGAGTTAGAAAATGAGCTGACAATGTATATAGTACAAACATTGTATTTCTCCATATTTGAAGTCCTATCTAAAACATATGCAGTTCTTTCCCGATAAACAATAATTGAAATATGCGGGATTTAGGATTTGATCCAAACTTCTTCTGATACTAAAGGATAATACTTGCAACCCTCCTTTCGGGGATGAGCTCAATTCTCCCTTATGAATAACCTATCTTGATAGTACAAATTTCATTACCGAAACCATTTGATTTCTTAATCTTAATTTGAAGATCACCCTACAAAAATTATTTCAATTGGAAATCATTTAGTAATTTAAATATATAAAACAAACCGACGGTATATGTCACATTCCGGCCCGGGCCCCTTCCACATTCCGGACTTGACTCTACCGTAGCACGATATTGTCTGCTTTGGGCCCCGACCACGCCCTCATGGTTTTGTTTATGACGGGCCCCCTCCACATCCCGGGCTCGACTCCATCGTAGCACGATATTGTTCGCTCTGGGCCCCGACCACGCCTTCATGGTTTTGTTTCTGGGAACTCACACGAGAACTTCCCAGTAGGTTACCCATCCTAGGATTGCTCTCGCACGAACTCGCTTAACTTCAAAGTTCCTACGAAACCCGAAGCCAGTGAGCTCCCAAAAGGCCTCGTGCTAGGTAGAGATGAGAATATACATATAAGGCTTACAGGATCCACTCCCCTGAGCGATGTGGGATGTAACAGTATAAGTATCAAGTAACGTATTCATGATAAACTGTTTACTTATTTGATATGTTTTGATGATTAAATGATCTTCAATCCAACAATTTTTTGTAGAAATGATCTTCAAATAAGGATTTAAAAAATAAATTATGTCGATCGTTGATAAATATACGTTATACGCAAATAAAAAAAATACACAATTCTACATGAAGGATGCAATTAAGTATTCATGCCACTTTCAACTATTTTTGGTAAAATATTGTGAGCCCAACAATTACCAATATTGGTCTACATGAATACATCCGTATGTAGGGTTGCCATGATTTGCCATTACATACCACTTGCTATCAAACACAAATTCAGCCGAAAAACACAGCTTAAATGCATTGACAATTTGATACCTACCCCTCTGCTCATCTTGAACCAATTAAAGAAGGAAAGTATCACGTTGGTAGGCTGCAGAATCAAACATATAGTAAGTAGACTCATAACTCATAAACTCTCCGATTTTTTTCTTAAACTGATATTGAGTAATACATAGTTTAAGAATGTTGCAATTTCTTATAAATTAGGAATGTGATTGTATAAATTCTTAGTAGATTATGCGTACGAATTCTATGAGATCTAGAAGATCTTTCCTTTTACAACCTGTATTACTCGGATATCAAGTTTCTCCCTCCCTTATTAGTATACACAAAGACACAATACATGAAAATATCAACACATAGAACTCCTCAAACCCCTTTTCTCTTCTTCTTTCTCATCAATGTGAGATTCATTTACAACATGATTAATTACTTTATTTTCTTTTATAATGTGAGTATAACTGCCAAACAATCCAAAATACATGTCATATTAGGCTTGAATCACGTAAATTTAGTATTATAAAATCACTACGTGTTACTTAATATTTAAATTGTGTTTAATAAAGTACAGATAAACAAGTGTGTTTAATATCTACTAAATTTTAAATTTTATATATATATATATATGTGTGTGTATATCTAAGATACTTGTATGTTTAATATTGCTAATATTTAGGTAAATCGGTTTCCAATAATACTTTAACCCAACAACTAAACTCACCTATTGGCGAGTAGTTGAATTGTTACCTAAAACAAAAAATTTAAAAGTCTACAACCCAACCAATATCGGTTGTGGTAGAAGGGTTGGTCAATACGCTCACTTAAATGTCCACCCTTACATAACATGATGAGGTAAGAAGGACATATCTGTTGAATATTGAGAAAAATATTGGGCCACGTACATTAATAATTCAATAAAAGTAGAGTAATTATATGGTTTTTTGTTGAATAATTGCATTGGAGATTGAAAGAAGGGTATTTTTTTAGTAGATGATTGGGTGGCTGGTGGGATTATTATACTGGACCAAAAATGAAGGGCTTCACACTTCACGGCTTCTCTCACATGTAGGTTATGCTCGAGTGGTGAAAGATGTCTCCTGTCCAACTGCAAAATTGCGATCCATATCAGAGTCAATGAATTCAAGCGCGCGTGAAATGTGGCTCACACGTTCTATTAGCCATCTTTACTGTGATCACAAGGCAGCGAATTACATATACAGTCGAAAATTGGTTACAATACTTATAAATATTTCATATAATTTTAATTTGATGGTTTGATATAATTTATGTGAAGATATATAAAATATGAGATATATGCATGTAAGTATTGAAAACCTTTTTCATGAGAATTATTATTAGCATTTCAAAATTTTCATTCTACACTCCTGTTGACTCTAAAAATTACAAGACCTACGTGGCGCGCAGGCCGAGTAACTAATAAGCTAACTACGTCCTTCGGTTGAATGCGGGGCGTGCCAACTCATCGGCCGAGCTCGGCCGTGGAGTAAAATTTGATGATGTCGCGTTGAGCGCGCTGTTGACTTCTGTATATTGCGATTGCGACCGAGGAAGGAATGCTCTCGGTCTCTGGGTTCTATAGCCTGAAGACAAGGCTACTAATTCTACGGAGTTCACAAATCGTCGGAGCCTGATTCGGTCACTGTGATTATATTCGTAAGGGTATAAGCACGCCGAATCGAGACCAAACTATATGGGCACAGGTACTCAAATATGATATATGTCTTGATGGTAAGCGTAGTTCAGCCGTCGGAATGCCGAACCCTGAAACTTACTTGCGAGTATCCAATCATAAAATCACTCGGCGTTCAATGCGCCGAGCAATGCAATTCGTAACACCCAACTATGCCGGAAAGGCTAGTAAGATGACCTCTACCAACAAGGGTTCGAAAACCCTTCTCGGCCAAGACTTAGATAGATAATCGGTCGACCTCGACGCAGTGCTGTTTATCCAAACTGAAGGTGCTTCTCGGTCGGCTGATTCTGCGGCAGCAGTGCTGTTTATCCAAACTGAAGATGCTCGCCGGGTGCTTCCACAGTGCTGTTTATCCAAACTGAAGGTGTGTCGGCAGGAAAAGAAAAGGAAAAATCTCAAGGTGTTTGAGAGGTTTTGCGCAGGGCAATTGTATGCTGATTTGAAGGGACTTTTCTGTTGCATGATTTCTTGTATTTATAGCACCCCATTCCTTGAGACCAATTCGCATTCTGATTTGGATTGGGAGTCCTTGTCCCATTTTGACTCTAACTCGAACAAACCTACTCCCACTGGGATTCTGAATTTTCCTTCTTTTCGAGGCTTTATTCCTTGTCGGCCGAGAATCCTGGTTGCACCAGGACTTCCTCGACCTTTTCTATTTATCCGGACTACTTAGGATAGGATTTGGCCGACCCTGCCAAACTGGCCCGGGATTTATTATTCGGCCCACAGTATTTGTCATCACCTTGGGCCGAGCACATCCTGCTGCTCAGCCCAACAACAATATTTTGGGCCCAAACAACTCGTCACAAATGCATTTTTCTTTCTAATTATATAAAATTTGGAGTACCAAATGAGATTTTTAAAGTGCTAATGAAAACTCCCTTTATTATTGACGTTCAAGTTTATATTTTGCTTAACATTTGAACTAAGGTCAAGCAAGTTGAAGTTCTCAACATTTTTTTAACGGTTTACAAGCACATAGTATTATTTAATATGGGAAGTTTTTTTAGCATCCTCGCACACCTCTCCCTTTTTTCATAGTGACGAATTTTCAAACTTAAGAAGTGAACAATACTTAGTAATTATTGATTAACACTTGTACGTTTATATGAAGAAACAACATTGGATTTATCGTTTTAGTAATAATTTGTGTTTTTTAGGAGAAATTGAGTGAGACTGAGGAGAAAGATGGAGGAGTTGAACAAGGATGAAGATGCTCACGGGGTACAAATTGAGTGACGTGTAGCATGTGTGACTAGTAAGCTTCACACACAGAGCAATATGTTTTAATACATGAAGAAATTTGATATTTTACCATAAAATCAATTAACAATGTAATGAGTGGTTCAACTCCATATAAAAATATGAAAAGTTTAGTAAACTTTTGACGCGAGAGATTTCTTATATTGCTCACACAAGAACAATATGTTGCACTGATAAACGAAAATTAAAATTTATTTCAAGTGCTAAATATACCAAGAACAAAGTATCTCTTGACTACAAGTTCTTAAGTGAAAAAATTGGGACTAATTGTTGAAAAGGAAATTATCATTATTAAGAGAAAAATAATTTCCACACATTACTTTTTTATGCACCCTCATATTTATTTATAATATTTTGAATGAATTTAAGCAAATAAGAACCAATAAATAGAAATTTACACAACGAAGATTATAAACAAAATCACTTTTCATCTCAGAAATTACTACTCACGCCAGAATTTGTCAATTTATCGAGTTGCTCTTCTAGTAGCACATCAAAAATAAACAATGTCCATTAAAGACGAATATCCAGAAATAATTGCATTATCAAACCAAAAGCTAGGTCATGCACGCTACAGCGCGGTTGATTAGGAAGTGGACTTCGCGAGCATTACGGGGGGCCAGCGGCAGTTACTAGATCATTGCATAATGCAAAACAGTGCAAGAAAACTGTTAAACGCAGTGCCCCAATGTAAGGAGGGATTTTTCAGTGTGATCGTCATAGAGGATGGTACATTACGTGTCGTTATATAAATAATAAGATATATGTGTTAAAAACTTAATAACTTAAAAAAAAAAAATTTTCAACATTTACATAAAAACATGTGATGTATCACCCGTGTTTTCGTCACAACTAAAAATTTCTCTAATGGAAGTCATTGACTTTCTCCTTCTTAAAATAATGCAGAGAGAGAGAGAGAGAGAGATGTTGGAGTTTGTACCGTCTCGATTTTCTGTATATATATAAACAGACGCGTCTATGCAATTAAGCCTGACTGCCTCTGAGTTATCTAAAACATCCTTCTCTTCAATCCCAACGTCATATATCCTCTCTTCTTCGGTTCAGCTCTGTTATTGTGCAATCCAATCCTCCTCTTCCTTCTTCATCTTCTTTTGACCAGTTGCAGTCCTTTTCAAATCGTCTGCACTTTTCTGCTGTTTTGTTGCTCCGGTTTTGAACCTGGATCCTTCCTTTTTCACCATTCTTCCTTAAAGAAAACCTCAAAAAAATCATTCCCAGCATGTAATCCAGACTTTAAATCACATCCCACAAAACCCCTTTCTCAGAAAAACAAAAAACAAAAAAATTAGTTTGATTGCTTTTTGTATGAAAAACTAGAGTTATCCTTGTAGTGGGTACTCTGGATTTCTTCATTTCTTCTATCCCTTAACAAAAAAATTATAAAAAAAACCTTCGAAATATGTAACTTTCATCCTTCCAAAACCCAATTCCCAACCCAAAAAGCCAAAAAAACAAAAAAACAAATTAGGTAAATTTTATTTCAGTATGTACTATCCATAGCCATACTGTCGTCCCCCACTCTGGCCACTACCAAGATTCTCGTGTAGAATTTTTTTTATAAAAATCGTCAAATTATGTAACTCCGAGCTCTCATTCCCAGAACCCAATTCTCAAAAACCAAAAAAAAAAAAAAAAAAAAAATCTATTGTGTTTTATCCTTTTTCTTTGTCTTGATTTTGGAGGCTAGAAATGGCGGAATCTGAGCCGGTGACGCCGTCGGCGTCGGCGCCGGCGACACCTGGAACGCCACTGCCACTGTTTTCAGGGCCCAGAGTGGATTCGCTATCGTATGAGCGTAAGTCAATGCCGCGAACCAAGTGCTTCCCTGTGAATGCTACTGCGTGGGGTCACTCCCCCACGTGCTTCAACGAGTTCCCTACTCCGACTGTCTCCCTCACCCGCAAGGTATGCATTACATATTGCAACCCCCACAACCAATCCTTTTACTATGCACCATGTTTTTGACATTTGTGGCTGTCATATGATTGAGAGTTTTATTCGAGTTTAGGTTCGTTTGGTGTCCAGGATAGAACAAAGAGTAACCAATTGAAACAGACCTCTACCTTCGGTTTTTTGTTTAGTACATATAATTAAAAATTAAACCCCCACTTTAATACGATAAACCATCTAATTTAGTTCCTGTCAACCTTAATTTAGTCGGTTGCTAAGTTATACTTGAACGAATAATAGTATGAAAATAAAATTATAAGTGTCTCAATTTAAATATTGTCACCTCTATTGGTGTTTAAAACTTGACAAAATGAATTTCATATCGAAAGAAAATATTTTGATATTGCTTTGGTGCATTATTGTTGGTGCTTTAACAGTGACGTATTTACAGTTGCAGTCATGAAGTTGAAAATATTCAAAAAGCTGGATATATTATTATTTTGTTAGAAAAAGATAATAATTTGTCTATAAACTAATAAATAAACACATGCTTGGCCGAAAAAGATTTTGTCCGTACTCAATTATAAATAGAAGAAACAAATTGGTTAGGGTTTGATTCCTATATATTGATACACATTAAAAACGAAATCTTTTCACCTGCTTTACATATATTTTAGCAAAAACCGCCCTTTTAATCGATTTATTTTTTGGCCGTGGTCCTTAAGCAACTTGGTCGGTTCTTAACAAACCTCTATAATTTATCCCAAAAAAAAAAAAAAAAAAAAACTCTATAATTTGAGTAAAGTATGGGGATTAAAATAAATCCAGGACGGCTAGTCCGAAAGGATATACTTTTGAAGAAGTTAATTTATCCAACAAAAAAAAGAACTTAATTTCATATTAGGCGTGTGGTCTACCTTCTACCTGTATTTCTTTTTAAATAATAGGAAAAGAAGAAAAAGGCAAACTGCATATGTATAATATATGCCGTTCTCAATTGTCATCATCCTAATGTCAAACTTATTTTCTTTCCCGAAAATATGCATATAAGAATTCATGTGTAGGCTTTTCAACACGATCGATAATGCTACTCAAACACTTTCAATTGCTTTACGCTTTATTGCATGTCTATTAACTAATATCCATTCATTGTGCTTTGAGAACTTTTTAAGGTTTCAACAATTGAAAATGCATTTTTGATGGTGGGCATTAACTACCAAAGAAAGTTAAAAAGTATTCCCAACAAGAAAATCTCATCGGGCCAAAGCTTTGTGCGTTACACATTTAAAAAATGCATGCACTTTATTAGCCACTAGGGTTAGCTCAGTGGTGAGGATGGACCGCGTGATGAATAAATTTTGAAGATTTTAGAGTTGAATTAGCGGTTCATAATTAATCATATTTATATTGTCCACAAAAAGTTTCTATTCAATTAGAAGTGAAACTATGCAATATAAGTTGTAATTTATCTTGTGAAGTTTCAGAAAAAAAGATTCCATTATCCAACACATGAATTACGTTCAGAGTTCAAATTCCTCCGATGTAGCAAAGAAAATGTGTATGCTAAGTGAGGCACGTTAAATACTTTAGCATACCAATTTAGAAAAAAAACTCGTTGAACTGATAAAATTAGAGAAACCAGTCTAAACCAATTAACAATGAGTGGAGAAGTTCGTAGCGGTTAGTTATATACCGTTACACAAAACTTTAATTTCCTGATGTAGGATAATAACTAGTTTTGATCAACATTATGTAGCTTGGAGCTGAGTTCGTAGGAACCTTCATCTTGATGTTTGCAGCAAGTGCTGGACCAATCGTGAACCAAAAGTACAACGGAGCAGAGAGCTTGATCGGAAATGCAGCATGCGCAGGGCTTGGCGTGATGATCGTGATTCTCTCCACTGGCCACATCTCTGGTGCGCATCTGAACCCATCTCTCACCATTGCATTTGCCGCCCTGCGACACTTCCCGTGGGTCCAAGTCCCAGCCTACATCGCAGCTCAGGTTTCTGCCTCCATTTGCGCCTCGTTTGCTCTCAAAGGGATTTTCCATCCGTACATGTCCGGCGGAGTCACGGTGCCTACTGTGAGTACTGGCCAGGCTTTTGGACTTGAGTTCATCATCACTTTTAATCTGTTGTTCGTTGTCACTGCTGTTGCAACTGACACTCGAGCGGTATGTAAATATATCAACCTCACATAAATTTGATTGTTCATATCTCAGATTCTTCTTAACTAATTTCAAATATATTCTTTCTAATGCGCTTGGGATTTGATGACATGCAGTTGGGAGAGTTGGCTGGTTTAGCAGTTGGGGCTACTGTCATGCTAAACATTCTTATTGCAGGGTTAGTACTTCATATCTATCTCTCTCTCTCTCATTTTATCCTTACTGCTATTTATCTACTATTGGACTGCTTTGTGATTTAGTTATAATTAGGGAAAATAATTTAAGTTTTAATTTTATGTTCTCATTTAAAAAAAGAATAAAACTGAAAACGGAAGAAGAAAAAAAATTGCAAATGGCCTTTTATTATAGTGGTGGAAAGATGTTGAGTCTGACATGATGACGTGGATTCAAACGCCGTCGGTGGCTAATTTAACAAAATCTATCGTTTGACCCAAAAAAAAAAAAAATTGACAAAAATTGAGAGCTTGTTTAGTAAACGTTTTCAACTTTTTAAATTTTGTGAAAACTGAACAATTATCAACAAGATTTAAGTTTATCTATTTATACTTGTGCATATGATTCACTACTCGGCAAAATTCGACTTCTGACATCGAAGTATCTTGGTTGTGCAAAAGCGTTTTTTTTTTTTTTCCTACGAATTCAAACATATAATTGTGGGTGGGTGACTTTTTCTTATTTTTATCAAATTGTAATAATCGTCTGCAAAGTTTGTTATTTCTTATTTTCAATATAATGCTCCACATAATTACTCTTCTTTCGTGATAAGGTTAATGGTGTATGTGTATTAGATCAATTTGTCATTGTATTTGCCTATCTGCATCAAACTATATCTTCTTCGTAAATTGACGTGGTTTAAACTATCGTATTGTCTAAAAGATTATTTTGAGTATTCTCAATTATGCTCGAGTATCGTCAAATTAGCACCCTATAAGACAACAAAGTTTTCCCATCATTGACTAGCTGAAAAATAAAAGCAAACTAAAGAAATCCTTGTTTATGCTTAAATTTTTTGTCTTAATTTAATTATTATGTTTCCCAATTACAATGGGCATTTATTCAAAACAAATAAAATGGTAGACAAATAAATATAGACTTATCACAATGTACTTCGAAAAGTGACTCATCCCTACATAATAATAATGGAAATCATATCTAACGTATACACATATCCCTGATTCAAACAAAGTTAAGCTTGTCATTTGCTTGTTTTTGTTGGGTTGGAGGGTGGGCAAGTTGGTAGCTCCCACAGCAATCAATACAGTTTCATGTACAATCATCATCCTCATGTTGGCATAACGTCACATAATTGAAAGGGAAAAAAAACGATGGTGGTGTGCGGTTTTTGTTATCATCTTAGCATTTCCCTCCTACACGCAAAGTTTAAAGATAAAAGATTCCAAGCGGAATATAGTACTGAAAATTATGGTTTTGTTTTGGCGTTGGCAGGCCATCTAGCGGTGGTTCAATGAACCCGGTGCGCACTCTCGGTCCTGCTGTCGCCGCCGGAAACTATACGAAGTTGTGGATATACCTGGTGGCTCCTACCCTTGGAGCTCTCGCCGGGGCGGCCACCTACACAGCTGTGAAGCTCCGGGAAGATGAGGTGGATGCACCTGTGCGCGAGGCCAGGAGCTTCCGTCGCTAGAGCTATACAAAGGCATGAATACGTAGGACAATAATCTCTTGTCATACAGTTTTTCATGTTATGTTATTCAGTTATTAATTTAGATTATTAATAAGATGAAAATCTTATTAATTTTCTTTATTATGCAATAACAATATGATAACATAACATACGAAAACGATGGCAAAACATATTACCTTAAGTATGCTAGTCCCTTGCATGGTGTATACCATATGATATGACGTGATAAGATAGCTTAAGATAAGTTTGATAAAGAATAAGGGCAGTGCGGGAGATATATGTAAGATGTGATAGAAAGTCTTACGCCTGGCCCATTTGGCTTTTCACTGTAAAGAAGTGTGTGATATCATCTCTCGCAAGGTCATTGTCCGATCGGATGGTCCTGCGAGAAGACTTCGGATGGGATCTGTTTGTTTGATTTGTGTTCTTCTGTTTTCTTTTCTTTTCTGCGTTCGGAAAGTGACTTTATGTAAAACTGCATGCAGTATGACGAATGGTTTAATAAATAAATAAAAGTAAAGTATAAAAAACTACTTTAATTATTAATGTCACGATACTTTTATATTTTATCTTTTAAAATTAACAATGTCATACCTCATCTTTAGAATTTGTGTCAATGTTATACCTTTCGTTAGTTTGGCCATTTATTTCTCAATTAAATGTTGACGTGGCTTGATCCAGAATCCTTTTTTTAATAAAATATTATTAAAAACTAAAAAAATCATTTAATATTTTTTAAAATATTAAATAATAAGAAAAGTAAATAAAATAAAATAAAAAAAACTTAAGTCAGTTCGTCCTTCCCCCCTCCATCTTCCCCTCTCCTGCAACCCAAAAAAGAAGAAGAAGAAAAAAAAAAAAACCCAAACCAATCCATTGTCCCCTCCCCCCCAACAACCAAACCTGCAACCAGAAAGAAGAAGAGGGGGAAGAAGAAGAAGAAAAAAAAAAAAAAAAAAACCCAACCCAACCAGTTGCCCGCCCCCCCCCCCCCCAAAAACCAGAAAAAAGAAAAGAAGAAGAATTAAAAAAAAAAAAAAAAAAAAAAAAAAAGAACTAATTCGTCCCAGAAGAAGAAGAAGAAGAGGAAGAAGGAAAAAAAAAAAAACCCAGTTCATCCTCCCCCACACCCCCCCCCCCCAGCGCACCCACCCTCTTCCTTCTACACCCATTCCCCCAAGGTTCTCAACCTTCGGAATCAGCTTGGCGAAGGTTTTCTGATTCCACCTCAACGGGAAACCAGAAAGAAGGAAAGAAGAGGAAGAAGAAGAAGAAAAAAAAAAAACCCAACCCAACCCAGATCCAACACCCCTCCCCCAAGCCCAAAAGAAGAAGAAGAAGAATTTAAAAAAAAAAAAAAAAAAAAAAAAGGGAACCCAATTCGTCGAAAGAAGAAGAAGAAGAGAGAGAAGGAAAAAAAAAAAAAAAAAAAACCCAGTTCGTCCTCCCCCCCCGGCACACCCACCCTCTTCCCTCTACACCCATTCCCCCTAGGTTCTCAACCTTCGGAATCGGCCTAGCGAAGGTTTTCTAATTCCACCTCAACGAGATTTGGGTTTTTTTTCTTTTTGGGTTGCAGGTAGTGGGTGCGAGGTTGGGTGCAGAGGGTGGGTGCGAAGGTGGGGAGGTTAGGTGCGGGGAGAAGAGGGGGTGGGGAGCGGGGAAGACAAATTGGTTTTTTTTTTTTTTTTTCTATTCATTTTTCTGGGTTGCAGTTGCAAGAAGGGGGAAGAAGATGAAGATGGGGAGAAGAGAGAGAAAAGGGGGGGAGGCAAGGGGACGAACTGAGTGTTAGTTTTTTTTTAATTATTTTTAATTATTTTAATATTTAAAAAATATTAAATGATTTTTTTTTTAAATAATTTTTTAATAGAAAATGAGTCCCGGATCAAGCTACATTAGCATTTAACTGAGAAATTCACGCCAAGTTAACGGAAGGTATAACATTGACACAAATTCGTAAGATGAGGTATGCCATTGTCAATTTTAAAAGATGAGGTATGAAAGTGTCATGACACCAATAATTGAGATAATTTTTTGTAATTTACCCAATAAATAAAGTTTGTGTGATAAAATGGACTTTGATCTGCTGCGTAGTTTAATTTGGTACATGCATGGCTGGATCTGCCGACCATATCAATTATACTAATTTAGGTTACGTGGAGAGGTTTGGCGGTATACGCACCCGAGTATGAGAGAGATGCAGGTAACGTTACCAGATGAGGAAGTTTAATATTACAAGTGTATATAATCAAAAATAATTTTTAGAAGAGAATTCCAGAATGATGTGATTTAATATTATTCTAATTAAAGTTCAAGGCAAGTGCCTCTTTATTATAATGGTGGAAAATTGTTATGCCTTACATGAATTGCGTAAGTTCAAATCCCGTCGGTGATTAATTTAACATGTAACTTACTAACGCAATTGCTAGAATAAAACAAATAAAATTAAAATTCGAGAGGTCTTTTGTTGTTTGTCCAAGGGTGATCGTGGTTGACCGGTTAGTGAATGTGTTAAGGGTGATGGTGTTGGTACGGTGGAGTTGCTAGTAGAGATGGTAAATCAATTTATTAAGTTGTTTGTAGGTATTCATTAAGATTTATTTAATTTAATTTTATACTATTATCATCACTATCAATCTCATCTTTATTCTATAATGATATCAAATTAAACGAATCTTAACCAGTACTCATTAACAACCTAATAATTAATTTGCCACCTCTAGTTACTAGTGATAAAGTGATAGGATGGGGGTGATGGTGGTGTTTGCGGTCAATCATATGATTGTTTTTAATGCTATTATTATTATGTTTTTGTACTACAATTTTATACCATATTAGGTGACATCTGATATGGAAAGCCATATCATTTAAATTAATCAAAATTTAACTTCAATTAGAAACCATTTAATAAACCAATAATTAAGAAAAAACTGGCTAATTAAATGATAATTGTGATATTTTTCAATTATGATTCTTCCGCTAGTCATATCCACCACAATCTAAATCTATTCTCATACGGCTCCCTTACTTGAATTATTGGTAAGCATCTATCATTATTTTTTATTAAATTTCTTTTTTAAGTCTGTTTAATTCTTCTTCTTCTATCGATTACCAAAACCTTTTTTGTTCACAGAAAGAATGACAATGGGCATTGAAGAAGAACCCCATAAATTGAAGGACACAAAACACGTTATGATTATTAGAAGCGCAATTATTTTTATTAGAACAATTGTAAATTTGATTTTCCACGTCTGTTCATCATGTTCACATTGTGGTGTTATATATATATTCACTATTTGATGAGCTGTATACTTTTGTTGGGTTCATTTTTTAATATATTGATAAATTTTTCGGGTTCTTCTTTTATATATTAATATGTTATCCAAAGTTTTCATTGCCCTATGCAACTTAGTTCCTCAATAAAGCACTACATATCTTATCCATGGTAACCAAATCAAGAGATTTTTTTTATCACGTTCAGATTAAGCTTTTTATCACTTTCAAATTAGGCTTTTTGATCACTTTAAGTCAAATTAGGCTTTTTTTTAATCACTTTTAGATTAAGCAACAAACTTAATTAAAGTAAGTCTACTTGCCATGGAAAGCATTTTCCTAATACAAGAAGACAACTTCATCTGAACTTTATCCACCACATATTGAAAAGTTGCACTATTGACCCTTTTATGCAATAAAGGAACTCCAAGATACGTCCCAAGCGAGATAGCTACATTCGAGCGACATATCTGGTTGATTTTACGAGCCACTCTTCTCCTAGTATTCAGAGAAACAACAAACTTTGGCAAGTGGTCATTTATCACAGTGGTGGAAAGGTGTTGAGCTCTTGCATGATGACGTGAGTTTGAATTCCATCTGTGACTAATTTAACAAAATCTATTATCTGACAAAAAAAAAAAACTTTGACTTATCAAAATTTACCAATTCACCAGAAGAAGCGCATAACTTAGCAATGCACGAGTTGACAATCTTTGATGGTGAAACAGTAGCTTTAGTAAAAACAAGAAAATAATTTGCAAAAAACAGGTGGGAAATACGAGGACCTCTTCTTAAGACTTCTAGTAGGTTTCCATTTTTATTATTAACTTCATAGGTAATCAAATGACTTAGCTTCTTCATACAAAGAACAAAAAGGTAAGGAGAAAGAGGATGTCCCTATCTTATACCACACCCTAGTTGAAACGCATTAGTAAGTTCACCATTAAAGATAGCTCTGAAATTGATGGAATTTATACAACTCAAGATGAGCTCGAATAAACTTCCATTAATACCAATTTCAAAAAGAATACGATCAACAAAGCCCCACAATAATATGTTATAAGCATTAGACAAATCAATTTTTCAAGCCAAGAAGCCATTTTTTCCTTTAGCAAGCTTAAATTTATGTACAACTTCTTGAGCTAAAGCACCAACCAGAAACAAAATTGAATTGATTTGGGTAATAATTTTCTCCATTATAGGCCGCAACTTGCAAACCAGAAGTTTGGCAACTACTTTATACATTTTAGTACATAAACTGGTGGGCCTAATTTGATTCAAAAAAATTGGATTAGGAACTTTAGGTAATAAAGTGCTAAGCGTTTCCTATATGCCAGGAGGAATTTTGATATGCTGAAAAAAATATTGAACATAAGTGATAATGCCGTTAGCACTATGATCTCTAAACTTTAACAACTTGAGCATTAAGATCTCTAACTTCTTCCTCCAACAATGGAGGGAAAAAACTTAGGCATTACGATCTAACTTCTGTTAGTAAACAAATCTTTGAAATAATTAACCACCACAGCTTTCAGATCCTGTTGACCCTACACCAGAATCATTTTCAAGTCCTTTCAACCTGCTTTTCCTCCTTCTAAGATCATCTCCAATGGTGACCTAAAACCTAAAAATATTTAACTAGAAAAATTGTTTCAAAAAACCCAAAAAGAGTTGTTTTTGTGTCTTAGGGTACCTTCCAACACAATGATGAGGATTTGGTTTTAATTGCATGACTATTAAAGAATGTTGTAAACATAGCTGGAAGTTAATTTATGCTTTGGTTTATGCTTGGTTATGGTTATAGCTTATGAATTCACATGTAATTACAAAGAGAAAATCTGTTTTTGTAACATGCTTGAACAAAGGAACTTAAACTAAAGCTACATCCTTGTGAGACTTGAGCCTATAACGTTCTTTGGAGAGTATAAATCTGTGATTTCTTGTTTTCTAAAGTCATTGCATGATCTCATCATTCTTTGCTTGGTTGCTACTTGGAATGCATTTCATTATAGTTCCAAATACTAGAACTCATGCCCAATTCATTCAAAGCATGATATTGATTGCATAACATACAATAAGATGAAGTTGTTAGTCAAGCCAAAGCCAAAAAGCCTATCCCTTTTCACATGTATTGTAGGATTACCCCTTTTGAGCCTTTTCAAGATTATTTTCTTTGTTAACCACATTATCCTCACCTAGCCTAGATAAGGACTTTCCATACCCTTGTTCTTAAAGGATAGTGAAGCATGACTTAGAATGAACTCCTTTTGATCAATATAT